CATAAAGGTGATACTATATGGATGATATAGAAAAGTTTTCTCTTAAACTTCCTGACATGCCAATCCCAGATGTGTTAGAGAAGTTTTGAGACAGGCTCAGTCCAAGATGTTCAGTGATGTAGTGGAATACCATACATACAGTTTACATACTGTTGTAAACTCTTGGACATTAGTGATTCAATGATGCAGAGTCCATCAAAATCAGTTTGGAAGTTGCCACAACAGAATCACATTGGTATTACAATGGCACATGTAGTGATACAGAAGAAACTTTTTCCCCTACAAAATTATTTCAGTACAGTAAGACCCCGCTTAACGTGGGGCATACGCTCCTAGTCGACCAAGCGCTAAACGAAACAGCATTAAACAAGGTCATTTTAACACAGTGTTTTTCCTTTTCCCTATTTACTCTATCAAAGACACAGATTTTACTTTAATTTTAAGTCATTTTTACATTAATTTGCATAATAATATATGTTAAGTAACACACAAACATATGCACACAGAAATGTAAAGTTCATTTTTTTGTGATGAAGGTCCTGATGAAATTTTTTTTTAAGTAGCTGCTTTTATTGCAAATCTGGATCATTTGCTACAATTTGATCAATGATTTTGGTTATTGTTACCAAACTTTTACTAAGGAAATATGTAACAAGTTCTTTGGGTTCTTCATTTTCAGAACTACTAATATCCAGTTCTACATGAATTCCATGTTCTGCCAGTTCTTCATTGTTGGTAAGGTTCTCATCGGAACCCTGCAGTAACTCCTCAATATCCTGTTCAAATACATCTCCTAGTCCTGCTGTATCATTTAAGTTGACAATTTGGTCAACCTAATGATACAATGATAGACTCTTCTCGTTGAGAATTTTTGAATACCTTACGCCATAAATTCTTCCACACTTCATTTATGCATTTATCAGTTAATTCTTGCCAAGTGAAGTCAATATTACCTATGGCATCAATGATGATATATATTTTCGAAAATTGTACCAAGCAATCATAGATTTAAGGAAAGTATGGCACTATGACGAATTGACATCTTTTGCTGATTGGTTCTTGTTTGGGAATAATCGTATTATATATATGAATCAATGAAATGCCATAATAATTTAAATCAGCATAAATTTTTAGCTTTTTTAGGCTTTGAGCAGACTGTGTTACATTGAGGCAGCATTAAGCAGGGTCCTACTGTACAAGAATTGAAACAGATCATCAAAGACCACTGTCATTAATTTCAGTAGTTCACCAGAGACCACACTGATTATATTTTTTATATGACATTTTTCACTAGTGAAACTTTGTCAGGCTATATAAATTCTCAAAATAGTAGGTTATGGTCAGAATTCATACATTTTAAATGAGATCACCTCTTTTAAGCAAAAAGTTAGTTTATGAGTGGCAATATAAAAGAGAATCATTGACTCTGTTTTTTAGGGTCCCATAAACAGTGATTGTTACTGTAGATATTCTGTATCAATGCATTGGTGAACTAAATGGGAATGAAATAATCCATAATTTCAGCAAGATGGATCCACAATATATATTGCTTAGACGATCAATGACTCTTATTTGAAAAACCTTTAGTGATTGTGTAATTTCTAAGCCCACCCAACTTTTATCTTTGGGGAACTGTGAAAGTTAGGTGTATGAAAATAACTTTAGTTTTTTTCAAGAGCTTGAAGTGACAATTGTAGCTTACATCAGAAACATAAGTGGGTCCTATTATTTGGGCAAGGAACTGTTTGTGTTTAGGGCTACATGCTCACCAAGTTTCATTTGGATTAGAGACCTGAATGTCTGGCCTTCCCTTGTTAGAAATAGGAATCAGTTTTGAATAATTTTTAATGAATAATTCCAAATAACACATTTGATCACAGTGTTTACTGTTTAGTGTTAAACAGTATTTCACAGGTTGTGTCATGTCAAAATTTTTATTTTAGTATACTGAAAAAGATCAGATTGAAAGTCATCCCTAAAATTTTCTGTCGATTGTTTAAAAAAACAATCTGTAAACACTGGATGGCATTGCATAAAACTGCCTTTGGTTCTCAACATTGCTTCCTACTTTTTTTGTCCAAATTTGCCACATAACGTCATGAAATCACTAGGTGTTTGATGCATAGGCTGCCCATTGTACAGAAGCTCAACATTTTGCTATTTTTTCCTGAAGTATGATTTGTGATTCAATTTCACACTGAATGTTGAAACAAGCAGACTAGAGATTTTATCACCACTTGCTATCTCCAGTATTATATTTTTATCACCACTTTAACCTTTTTAGTGGTCAGCATCCCTTGAATCTGAAAATAAGCTCTTTCACCTCCTTAAAAAATGTGTGTATATTTTTTATTTAACTCCTTCATTTCCGATCAATTTTTAATTAATTATAATTAAACATAAAAAATACTTAAAACTGAAAAAAAAACAAAAGAAATGCGTTAATTTTGAAGAAAAAGCTTGAAAGTTTAACTTCCTTTGTCTCGCCTTTCTGTGAAATTTGACACCGATGAGTCATTGTTTACACAGCTGGATGACCTTGAGAACAGCTGGCGTCCCATTTCCCGGGACATTCTCAGACATCTCGGGAGGACAAGGGTTTAAAGTAGGGTGAATATTAGCTGGCCGTATATTTTTAAATATTTTT